GGAAAAGGTTATAATCTTACGGAAGCAAAGCCAAAATGAGCATGTGGGCCTTTTGTTCTTTGTATTCTTAATATAATCTTAATGGGCTTTTTTAAAATATTCACTATAAACATGACTTGCTTCACAGATAATGGCACTGATTTTCTTAAGATTTTGTGGTTTGAGAAGTAACATGAATAAGAAAAGTAGAGCTAAATACCAATAGAGCTGAGATTTATTTTCATCCTTTAGCAATATTTTAGTACCAGGGGAAAAATATGGTTTTAAATGTTTTAAGGAGGTTCAGTCCTTGATCCCGCCTATGCACTGCCACAGGGTTATTTCTGGTAGCTTACTGTAAAGACTTTAGCTTATGAAAAAGTGAAGCAAATTTAAAAACATGACTAAAATGTTTAAAATCCTCACTGGAGGCAGCAAGTGCATCTTTTGGTTTGAAAGCACAGCTTCATTACACCTGCTCTAGATTTGCCTTCCACACCAGTTCACTTCCAAATCATTTTGTGGATTAGCGTGGAAAAAACTGCAGATAAAATAAAAATGTAAAAACAGCTTTTAAAAATAAAATTCTATGTCCCAAAATTTACAAAGAACAAAACTGAATGAGAAAATAGAAAAATTGTTCTTACTTGCCCATTCAGATTTGATTTATTTCCTTATAAAACAGACTGCCTCCAAGTTTTCAGGTTCATGTGAAGATGAATCAGAGACGAGACTGATAGGGGGACACGAACACATTACCCAGATGAAACAGTGAAGCTTTTAGTACCCTTTCTGCCATCAGCAAGAGTTTGTTTCAGCTGCCTACTCATACCTTTTCCACTGGTTAGATTAAGACTACGGGCTGCCTTTTCAAGACTTCTGCTGCTATGGATATACATGTAGCACAACGGATTTCCTTCTCAAAAGTCCTGCAATTAGTTTGGTTAGTTTAGCGTAAAGTATGTTCCCTTGACATAGGCAAGGTACTAGAAGCAGAAGCAGCAGGACAGTCTCCCCGCAGCTCCAGCTGGTCCCTGTGCAGGGCTGCGGGAAGCTGTGGGAATGAACCTCATTTTGCACAGAATTCGGAGAAGCACTTGGGTGGCTCAGAGGCATCTTTCCCCCTCTCCCTCACCAATTTACAGTGCAGTCGCTACTGTTGAGGATCTGGCCCACAGCAACTACTGTGCTAGCAAATAGGTAGGGTATTGGTTAGACTGAGATTTGGGAAATATTCAACTTTCTCTCATGGTTCTGAAAATAGCCATGCACTTTGTAGTTTTGCACTTTTTCAGCACTGTACTTAAATCATAAAAACATTTATATGTTCATGGATGGTTCCTTTCTACAGGGCTCAGATTCTGCAGGTGAAATCAGACAGATCTCAAAGTGGAAATAACTGGAAACAATGGTGGATACTCAAACACCACGTTGTAAGAGACCATTACAAAAGAAAGGACTGGCAGAAAATTTATGCAACCCTTTACTCCCTTTGAAGCATTCAGAACAGACTCAGACTTCACTGAAGCAGTGCATGCTTCCCTCTTCAGAGAAGTTCAGTCTTGTTACTTCCCCCAAAATCATGCTGCTTGATTTAAAAATGATGGGGTGGAGTTGGGAGGGTTCAATAGTTTTTTTTGTTTATCTTCATGCTTCATAAGCCCACATTTTCAAACCTTTCTCCACGACTAGAAGATTATTTCACAGTAATGACTGTGATAGTTTTGATTTTAAACTTTTTCAGGAGCTGGTGCTTCATGAAAGCAAACCATTGCTGAGAAACTCATGACAACATTTTGAGATGGCAACCCAACTGTACGTTTTATCTAAAGAGTTAGCAATCACCCAAGAGCTGCCATTTAACTGATTGACCCTGTTGTGAAAAGAGAGAATTAGGAGTTGTAACTTCCAAATTTGTTAAACAGGGTCTTTATGACCTAGGGGGGAAAAATGAAATCTCACATTAATATTGGCCAGCACTTTCACTAAAATACATATAATTCATTTGGAAGGAAGGATACCAACTCTAAGCTTAATCTGAGATGTGGACATGTAAGAACAACTCAGTTTCTGATGTTATTTATTTTATTCAACCCCACCTTGCCTCTCAGGTATCTGTATCCCAGGCTTTAGTGCACTCAGATTCTAAATGTGAAACAGACTTCACCAATTTTATTTGTCAGCTCAGGCTCTGTCCTTGCTGTCTGGTGTCAGACAGAAACCTGACATCATTTTGCACCTGCTGGCAACCGTTAATTGTGTATGAATGAGACTACCAGAAATGGCATCAAAATCTAAATGGAATGGAACAAAGACGCAATCCTCCACGTGAACAAAAGATGTAAGAACAGGGATAATGAGCATCTGGTATCACCTTCGCAGTATCAAAAATCCTCATTAACAGTACCCGCTAAAAAAATTCTTCTAGATGGCAACTGTTGCCTTTCACAATATTTGATAGGTTCATTTATAAATTATTCATATTGAAATAGGCATTTCTAATGTTTTATTTGCAAGAGTTCATATTTTTAGTACTTTCTGATTCTCTAAAAAATTTTGCACTATCCCACAGGTATAAAAACAGAAGGCAATATTAGAATCCAAATATTTTGATAATTTTATCTTCAGAAGTTGCTTCTGTAGTCCAATGAAATCCTAAATGTTTTGTTCTAAGAGACCATAATAGATTAATAGCATTATCAAGTCATGTGCTTGAGCTAGACATAAAATTATAGTAATCCAGCTGCAAATGCCCTTTATAAAACTAGCCCAAGTCTTCTAAACAAAAAAAAAATCAGTACATGTAAAACAAATCTACAGCTGCTGTAAACTATTTTAGTGCTACTGATAACAGTTTGCATTAATAAAAACCTACCTGAATAGAGTTGGGCTATCTCAGTTCCTATCCTCTTAGAAAAACCCTCTTAGCTGCTTTCCCTTTTGCAATGCAAAAGCAGAGCACATGCTGAGTGAGGAGGCCTTTGAGCTGATAGCTTTACAACTGCTAGGTTTGTACCTTCTTATCTCTGCAACCGAAGTCCTCTGACTCAGGCTCAGTTTGGAAAGAAGTATTGTGACATTCGGATGCAAGTAAACAGAAGTATTTAGGAACAAACATACAAATAAAAAAAAAATTACAACCACAACTTACTGCAGGTCCAATTATGCCCAGATGGACACTGGGATCCTTTCTGTGCCAATCTAAAACAGAAGAGGAACATCTTTTTTATTAATCAAAATTATTAATTTTTAATGTAATTTAATTCTTTCTCTGAAATCAATGTAAATAGCAGCATGAGTAAAGAAGAATTAGGCAAATATGGTATTACTACTTAAAAGACTGAATGTGTACCAGATTTCATGCTCAGCCCTCACGTTATTCTGCAGAATTCAAATGATTAGCATATCTGAAAGTTAGTATTTAGTATTTCTGCTTCATGCAATCTCTTATGATTCAAGGGTTATTTAACTAAGCTCAGATATTAATTTTAAATCATCTCAAGAGAGCAATGCTCTATATAATGCAGTGACTCTGGCCACTAATACAGAAATTTTTTAATTCCTTCCTACGTAAAGGGAACATGTGGAAGCAACTGCAACCATTACGATTAATACTCAGCACAAGAGAAATCTACTGCTCTTTCAATACCAGAATAGAACAAAACCACTTACTTGACTCTAATAAACTACATTTGTTACTAAGCATCACAAGGTGGTAAAGGCTTATAAAAGTAAGCTGAACAGTGGAGGCTAAATTTCCAACTTGGAATACCCAAACCTTTTACAGACACAAACAGAACCTGGCAAAACATTCACCTACGTGACTACAAGAAAACTTCAGCCTAGTTTACAGTGTTGAGCCATAACGATGGGTGGTAAAATTTGCTTGTAACTTCAATGATATTAATTAGCACACATGCAAATCAGCATAACAGCCACAGGACAGTAAGATAAAAAAGTTATTTTGAAGTAGGTGAGCTCTTCTTTTGTCTTCCATTAATATTGTATGTAACAGCAAAATAGTTTTCCCAGCAAGTAAAATCATCAAATATTGCTTTGATTTTAATGCTCTGTTATTCCAAGCAGGCTGGAAAAGAGGCGGTACAGAAATAATGTGCTGAAAAGATCAATGGTTACACGAGCATTTCTTTTTTTAAATGAAAATATGTTATGAAGTTTTCTGCAGTGAATAAAACCGCTTACGCCAAACTTACAGACATTAAAAGAAATTAATCTGAATCCGGGGACAAAACAAGGGTATTCAAATAGCAGGCACCTACCTGAAAATACATCTACTAAATACAGAGGGTCTTTGACTCTTCGAAGTCCGCATATCAAAAGAAACATATGTAAACTGCCTTTATCTGTAGGAATGTCTGTAACAAATAAATTAAAAAGTCTGAATGCAGATAAAAAGGCTGAACACCCCAAGTTGTTTCATGAATAACACATAAAGTGGTAAAAGCAGTAACAGAGTGGATCCTGAAAAATTCCCATTATTATCCCCTCTGTTTCTTGCTCTTGCATCAATTCTCAAATCAACTCAGTGGAGAACGTAATCATGCACATCAGTTTATAGGGCACGGGAGTTTATTTCCAGAGGCAGTGAATGTGCTGGATTTGGATAAATAGCCAGTGGTCAGTATTCCTGCACACCAGAACCCAGCTTTGACTGACAAGGCAACTATAGAAATCAGTGTGTTCCTCAATTCTTCTACCCATAAGAAGAAAAAAATTGCATCCATATAATAACTCAACACCTATTTCAAGGATATTGTGAGGTTTAGTTCCTCCAAGGATGCAGGGATTAGAGCTCTTGATCTGACACTTTTTGTTATAAAAGATCAGGTAAACGTCCCATAGTTATCTATCCCTAGTATGCCAGCGCTGCTACAGAATAATTAACTAGAAGTTAAAATTATTGCAAAGCATTTATTTTAACCTTATTGCCAAGAAACACAAATGAAAAATAATTTGGAAAAAATCTCAACATGGGAGTTTTTAACATGGAAAATCTCTCTTGCAAATACACAGTAACAACCCATAAAAATAATTTTGTAGGCTGTATTAGAAAAAGAAGATCTGATGTATGATATTGCAGTTGCCATTGGCTCTATGACAGCATAATTAATTCAGAACATACTTCTGGAGAAGGGTCACTATGTGATGAACTTTGGTAAAATGTATTTATGATAAAACAACATAATTCACAAATTGCTGAATGAACACACATAACAACAACATAATTTAATAACCACTAGAGGGGTTGAAACATTCATGTTTGATTTACCGTACTGAACAAAACAGTTTGCTGTCCTTCAGTTCACCTGTTTATTGAGCTCGTGGCGAGGATGGATGACATGTATTATCAACACTAGGCAGTTCAACAAGGAGCATCAAACTGCTGCTCCTCAGCAGCCGGCTGTTTGTGGGACATTAATGCCTGGGTCCCCCGCTGGGGCTATGTCCCATCGCTACCGGGAGAGCTACACTGCACGGTCAGAATGACTGTCTGTGGGATTTATGATTAACAGAGGAAGGCAGCAGGACAGTTGTGGTGGCACGGTGATCTGCCGCTGAACACTGCAGAGCTCCCTTCTCTGAGGCCTCCTCCTCCTCCTCCTCCCCCCTTTCCCTGCCAGTCTCCACCAGCTGCAGGAACGACTCAGCTGCTTATACAGCATCACTGAATTGCTGCAATTTGTAATGTAAGATCACTCAAACTTGGTACTAACTTAAATTTCCTCATGGTGCTGCATAACTTAACTGCAGGGCCTGCTCCAGACCCTGGAAGAAATATGCCAGGAATATCTCCGTTCATGCCAAGGAGCTGGATTAACATGAGCTCCACATGAAACCTCTATTTTGTGGGAGGGGGAGAATCAAGAGAGTGATGATTCATGACATACTCAAGTGCTATTGCTTTTAAAATTAAAATTCAGTTCAAGGACTTCTAAATGCTCCCTGTCACAGGGTTCATTATTGAGTCTGTTTCATTTAACTTAAACAGCTTGACTTGTCAAGAGTGGCTGCAGCAGACACGGTAAGTAATATTTTACTGGTTATTGGACCAAGAAATAATTTGTAATTTATAATACACAAACATTTGGATTGAAAAAGCCATTCTTCTGGTGCAATGGGCCATTAATACTGTTTGATTTTAAGACATGCAGCAGTGGTTTCAATTCATGACATGAACTCACACAAAACAAATTACTAGAAAGTGTCAGCAAAATTCAGATTGCATTTTAACTATCCAAATGGCACAAATATTCATTTTAAGTTATGAACTCCCACCTATCGACGTTCAGCTCTGGCTATTTTGGAATAAACGTAAAGTTAGCACCGACAGCTCAGTCAGACAGTCGTGAGAAACCAGGGCTCCCTGTTCTCACGTAGAGACGATAGAATTACTGCACTCTTGATGTGACAGTACACTAATCAACATTAACTATGCTTGAAATTACTGCTCCTTTTTATCTCTTAACATCTTTTTGTTTCTATCTTAATAGCTTTCAGTCTTTTCATTTTATTAGAAAAGAGTTTAAAGTGCTCTGACAATGAAAAGCCCTAATAGACTGATTCTGTGCGGTCCTGACTGCCATTCTGCTCCCTGTACGAAAACCTTAACCCGAAAGAGAAATGGGAAACTGGCCCTACAGACAGTAATTGTACTTTGTAATCTGGATTTTGCCATTTAGTTCCTGTGGCATTTAAAGGTACTTCTCCCAAGAATCTCATCAATAACAGTCTAATTATTTCACTAATGAAGTTACCTAAAATAATATTTATTAATGAAAATAGCCCACTTATTTGACATTTATTATTTTGAAAAGACATCCACCAGCCTGAACTCTCACTGCAGACTATCCCCTTCGTGCAACTTCACAAAGCCCTACTTGTCTATCATGAAATGTTACGCACTTTTCTCTGAAACAGCAGATATTGGGTACACTGGACTACAGACTGGATCCTACGTGGCATTTCTAAAAACTGTCATAGAAGGGCTAGTCAAAAAAGGATTTGCCTCTGCCATTCAATTTAGTGAAGTAAGAATGAGTTGTAGTTTTATTTTATCGTATGCTGTAGATCTTAGTCATCACCTAGTTCAGTTTTACAGGCAGACCTTCCCCACTCGATCCACTGAGAAGCACATAAAGACCTCCCTGAGAAGACTGCATTACCAGCACATCACTGCCACTGTTTAGTGCTGGGACTTTACTCATTCTCTGTCTACTTAAGATCAAATTCCAGCAGCACTTGTGTATCGTGTGAGCTTTCTGCTCATTCACTGAAAATGGTTAAATTCACACATGAAGATGATGCCTGCACCAGTTTTTGCCCACCTGTTGCTTTGTCAAGCCTTGCTAGCACCCCTGCTGTGAAAAAAAAAAGGTAGCCATTTGTACAAGAAAGCAATAATTTTAGTATGCTTTGTCCTCACAGGAGCGCTGAAAAGAGGAACATATTAAGAGAATAACCGCAATAGCTGCCTTTACCGGCTATTGCCATCAGTTGGGTGAAAACTGGTATTTGAAAGAAGACATTTTTTCTTTTTCCTTGAGCTGAAATGAGACTTTCAGTATGTGAATTTTTGCCATCATTCTGCCTTGCCCACATAGGCTACTTAATCTGTAACAAAATACTACTGCCTCATGTGATTCAGTTCTGAAATGGAAATACAATCAACTGATTTGCTCTTTCGATACATTCACTGTGTCACTATCCTGTTTGAATGACATGCAAACACCCAAATAACAAAAAAAATGCTTGTGCCTGTTTCTCCCCATTTCTGTTAGTGTTACAAAAGCAAAGACTTGGAACAGCACACTGTGCTTCATGACCTCTTAGCTCATGCATCCTTCTGTTTGCTTTGCAAAGAAAATACAAAATGGAAAGATTTGTACGTAATCACTGGCAATGATAAAAAAAAAAAAGACTGCATGGTACATGTTTTCCAGCCATTCTTCAGAATCACTATAGACTAAATGCACGTCGTCTTGCCACTGTAATCAACATCTCCGTCAGTGTCAAAAATAGTTGTTTAATATCAGTAAGAGATGCTCCTTCAAACATGCATTGTCAGTAGTTGTCTATGGCTGTAGTCTGATTTGTTACATCGGCTTTATCTCTAAAAACAGCTGCACATTGGCCACAGCTAGTCTTGAGCCTGCTTAGCAGGTCACCTGTTTAGCAAGATGTGAGAGGTCAAAACAAGAACAGTGATTGATAGGATTACGAAAACTCATTCTTCTCATCAGCCTGAGGGTACGCTGTCCTGATATGCCACGCAGGAGCAGGGGGGTGGTAACAAATGAACTGCAGGTGAGCTGAAATGAGACAGATACAGTGGAAGATTAAGACTGACACGGAACTCCCACAGTCATGTAAGTCCTTGTTCATGATGGAGCAGAGCTGGTATTACGCTGCTCAAAATTGAAACACAGCAATCTAGCATTGGCACTTAAAATTTCAGAGCGGAATTGCATGATCAAAAGGGTATCCAACTGCTGCGCCAGTGTATTTGTTGATAGTATTGGAACCTGGCACAAAATATATTGGCTAATAGATGAAATGTGATTAATACTCAGGATTCATGTTCTCCTGCTAGCTGTGATTCTGAGTCATGGCGTGGCCTAGAGAAAGTTTCTCAAACCTGGACTTATCCATCTAGACTTACCCATTCATCTGCAAGCAGGTTAATAATTGCTTGACGTGAAGCAATGGCACTGGGTTTAACTTTTGGTAAACTGTTCTGAGGTCTTCAGTTGCAAGACAGAATGAGAGAATGGAGTATATTAAAAGTGGAAAGCGTTTTCATAATGTAGCACTGGAAATAAGCAGTTTATTATTTAAGATTTCATTGGCTCCTAGTTTGTTCCTTATCTGAGACTGTATAACTGTTTGTCACATCAACTATTTTACTATTATGACACACTATGATAGTTTACACTTTGGCCTTAATAAAAATCTGTACTTAGATGCCAGGATAGCAAAACATGAACACAGACAGCTAACACAAAAGCCTAAATAATTTCTGAAGCATTAGTAAGGACACTGTTTTTCTAAGAAAGGCAAGAATAAGTAGAAGTGTTATCTGAACAGATTTTGATAGAGCAGATTCATTTAACTCCACCCCTCTAGGTACTATCAGGAAAAAAATGTAGTAATCACAGATGTACAGTAAAAATAAATATATTACTGCAAATCTTTAATCTTACTGCAAAGCTGCAGGCCTCTAAGTGAATGAGTAATATCAAGCATTAGCTTGCTGAGAGGTAAAGAAGCAGTTTGAGAACATCTTAAGTAAGCAATTTTCTCACCACTTCCTCAAATAAAGAAAATAGAAATATTTTTCTTACTTAAAAGTCTTTACTGTGCTTTTCTAGGGTGTTTTTGAAATGTCTAGAGAGGAGAAAAATATAAAAAGGAACAATGTGATTTTTCATTCAAAGTTACTATTTTGTACCTGAACCAACAACTTCACAAAGCGAAAGTTCTTAAGATGTGTTCATTCCTTTACAGCTTAAAATCCAATTTGTACTAGAGGTTAAGTATATTTTATCAAGTATATCAATATTGGTCTTATAGGTTATAATTTAGGATACAAAGATTGCCCAGTAACAAAAAAATCAGTCTGCAGTCAAAACATTTCTCATCTCAAGGATGATCAAAGATTTTAAGATTAATTTTCCAGGCCCTGATTTCAAGTTCACTGTTGTGTTCTATGGACCTTTAGAGAACAATACTAAGTCCATAATATTTGGGCTTGTCATCCATTTTTGGTTTTGTTCAGAAACAAAACCTAAGCCATGATGAGATGGAGAGGGTGGATAACCTTTCTCATTTTCCTTTCTGTTCACTTTGAACCACAGCAGGTCTTTTACTCCTCTTGAAAATTGTTCATCTGTCCATCTCCTATGCATCTGAAATATTAACTGATCTCCTAGAAAAGGAAAGCCATAGGTTTATTGCCGAGATTTCAGTCTCTAAGATGGTTATTTTATTTTCTTGAGTTTGAAACACAGATAATATTGTCCAACTCTGGCATTATTTTTGATACTCTCAATCTTTCAATTCATAGTTATTCTTTACGCTCCTCTCCCTACACCCAGCAGAAATACCATACATTGGCTCTTTTAGTCTCTTGCGACCAAGAGTTTGATTTTGCGTCTCTTTCACAAGTCAACTATTAAAAACAAGCCAAGTTTTCCAGCTTGTTTGACATGGTGGTGTCCTACTGCAGGACAGCTTCAACATGCTGTCTTACTTTATACTGACTCCGAAGTTTCTGATTGAAGTCACTGATGACACAGAACTTCAACAATTATTAGCCCACTTAGGTCTTATTTCAGCAACATACTTAGCCACCTGCAGAACTCAAACATTTATTCATGTTTTATGAAGTTGAGCTTTTATTTTACAAAGCAGTTTTTTTCTTAGAAATTAAGGGGAAGTGGAGGTAATAACTATATCCTATATATATCTCTCTATATCTCCTATATATATATATATATATAACAACTATATCCTATATAACTATATGTTTACAGTGCTATTCACATTCAATAGTGAATAGTTGCTAGAGTTGCTGATATGTTTGTGAAGACAACAGAAGTTAAATGACTCTGTTAACTTCCAGGCTACTAATCCAGACGAATTAGACTGCAAAATCCTCCAGCAATCCTTTCTTCCCGTTTCTCTTTATTTCTAACAGATCAGACAACAAAAAAGCTGTATGCTTTCAGATCTGTTGGGGAACACAGTTTACTGCTGCTATCATATCATTATTTCTGTGGTCAGCTATATATCTGCACAAACTTTTACTATTTAATTTTTCTTATGTGGGTCGTCTTTTCCAGCATAGCTTTAGGAAAATATAATGCCTCTGTAAAACCCTGTCTGTGTCATGACAGGTTATGTAAACTTTTCAAGCTCTGAAAATAGACATGCTATGAAGCAGAAATTATCTGAGAGTAGAAAAATCAAACTACAATAGTATACTGCACATTTTATTTGATAGTGCAATAAGCATCTGATCCTACGATTCTCTGTCACCTTCCAGGAAACCAGTTTTTAGTCTTGTCTGTTGGGTACATGAGCTTTCCCAGTTCATTAGTATAGACATTGTTAGTTATCTATGTCTTCTGATCACATGATGTCTAAGTGTTCATTAGGGTTTACATCTTACAAGCTTCAGTCACATTCCATCACAATCAAAAGGAGCCTTTCATCATGGTGTGATGACATCAAGCCTGTCTGTGATCTTAAGCAGCTACGCTCCATCCTTGAGCTAAGTTGTTAGAGATCAGTCTCAGTTTTCACATTTACTTAGACTGTCTTGTCATTTTCTGTCAATCAATGTTCAGCAAAAGCCTGAACTTTCATTGTTTCTCTCAAGTCTACAGACAGGCATCTAAAATTGCTAACAAAACTGATTATGCTGTATATAGATTCCTGTATTATAAGGTCAGAGAAAAAACATTTTGATAATCTGGTTTGACCTCCAGACTGACACAGGCTGTAGTACTTCCCTAAATAGTTTGAGTTACTAAATATACTGAAAACATTGTCTTCTTGAAGTCTGTGTTGAAACTTGCACTTGGTTCAGCTTTTTGGTTTGGCTACTGTTGTTTACTGTCCTTCATCCACATAAGACAAACACTGTGAAGCTGACTGTTAACCAGAATGCAAATTAACTTTAAAAGCAATTTTCTTGTAGATATGTTTTAACAGCCAGCCACTGAAAATACTGCAGCTAGGAGCTAGCACACTAACGCTACACAAACATCACCTCTGCAACTCTCAAGTCTGCTGCTGAGACTATGAAAAAAATACTAATTCCATGATTTTTGTACTGAGGTTGTATTACACCCATAATAACAACAATAAAAAACCTTTCCCAGCACTGCTTCAGTTTGTATTAGGCAATTGCTATTTATGTTAACAACCCAAACTATCAAATGAAACGTACAAAAAGCTGGGATTCCTTAGCTGTTGGTTTAGTACCGTTCACATTTGGGGGCTGGGGGTTGGGGGAAGTCCCCCACAGTAAAATGTATTTGATGCATTCTGCCACTCACTTAAATCTACCACTAAATTATTTTTGAAGCCATTACACCGATTTAAAGAGACTATTTATGTACTGGTGTTATATTTAACATGAGTCAAATGTTAAGGCTTTTCTATGACTGAAAAAAAATCAGTACAAAAAATATTCGTAAGAAGTCTGTTCTATTAAAAGAAGTCTTGAAATATTGTGAAGAGCCTATTTCATTTTAAAGAATAACTTCACAATGTATGACCAAAGACGTTTAACACTGATGCCTCAAATGTATTATAATTTGTATTGTAGGGCATGTGCTATTTCTTTACATTCAGTCCTGGGAATCCTGAATTTGAAAAATGTTCAACGATACTGCTAAAGATACAGGCAAGAGTTATCCAGAGAAATATTTCCCACAAAAATCATTACATGCCTTTAGATACGGAACAGAACTTTATGAAAAAAGTCTTTGTCAAAAAAAAAAAAAAAAGATCATAAATGCCATGAGGTGAACAAGATTGGACAGCTTTATCTGCATAACAGCGAGGGATCTTTTCAAGTGCACTTCATTGTGCAAGCCTACACTATCAAAATCGTATTCTTCTGAGCAAAACTGCCTTCTATTTTTGATAGTTTTCTACTGATTGCTCCAAGTTTAGTAGAATTTTAAATACTTTAAAACTGCAAATCCCTGGAAAAGAATTCAGTGGGAACTCCTAATTAGTCTGTGGTAAGCGCAAAGGTACAGCCAAAAAACCTGCCTCCATGTGCAGTATTAAAAGAAGTGGAAATTGTAGGCTGCCACCAGAGATGGAAACAGAGACAAGACTGATAAGATGAAACAGTCACAAAAAACAATACTGAATAATCTGATGCCAGTTTTCAAGTTATTATTTAACAGGCACAGACGTTAGAGTCAGTTTAGTTTGCTTTTCGTGTACATTATGAATTATTTTTGCACTTTTGGATTAGTACACATTAGGCAAAAAACTGTCTCTAATGTATTAGATGAAATGCACTTTAGGGGGAGCTTCTCCCTCCTCAATCTGTTGACTGCTCTTTTAATCATAAAATGGTTGGACACGAGATCCAATCAACACTAAGGCTGTGCTAGCAAGTGACAAATCATTTCACTTCCGAAAATTATTAATCTTAGTGGCGCTGTGCTTGCGTGCCGTGATTTATTGAGAACCAAATAACCTCACAATGCTCAATTTAAAATTGGACACCAGTTTTGAATAATGGCACACATTTACTGATGTGATAAAGCAATTGAATAGTGAGGATTCATTCGTAACAGAGGGAACAGCTGTACTATCATAGATCAGATTGATGAATATAATACTGAAATATTTTTACCACAGTAAAATGCCTACAAATTCTTTTAGGGAAAGGCAGCTGTAGCAATTAAAGCATTGCCAAGATCAGGTGACTTTAAATTAGGTCATCTGCCTTACATGTCATTACTTTGGTGAAGACAGGCTCTACATCAAGACCAAATAATAAATCATCAACACATACTTCCCTTCTTCACCACTTCTTCACCTCACCTGCTCTTCTGCAGAAGACATCCACAGTTTCTATCCCACAGCTGTAAAGCACAGCACGTTCAGGTATTGGTGCTTTGGTGTAACTTACCTTCTAAGGGACATGCACCCATATGTCATGACCGCTTTATCTTTTGGTGCAATTCAGCCCTGGACAGACCAGAAATCTGGAGGCAGTCGGGGTAGTTTACTAAGCAGACTAATCTGATTGATATTCTGCCTGAATCTAACATTAAGAGTTTTTCATTTTTCATATCATTAAATCATTTTACTACATAATCAGTTAGCTTTCACATTCTAAATTTCTTTCATCATTGATATCTACTAAGAATAAATACAGTGAATACAGAAAAAAAAAGTGTGTTTTACCTGTATTTTGTAGAAATCTATACCAGTCAAACGTGTCACTGGGTGTAGTCTTAATTCCTGTATTGAAAAAAAGAGAAACACAATGTTTGGTTGGTCCCTGAATGGCTGAACTACGGTTCTAGAAGTCTTGCCCTAAGAAAAAGAGTATCCCTCTCAAGCACACTGACTTCCATACACGGCTGTTCCTAGCTCAAGCTTTTCTCTTCCCAACAACGTCAGGTTGTCTGCACAATCCTTCTGTAGTCATCAGATAGATTGAAATTCAATTTAAAATTTCGCACAATCACACATTGTATGAATTTCTTTAGCAACCCAGGGAATTAAACTCACTTACATCATGCTAAATTTGGCCTTGTAAAATCTACACATGAGATAATATTATCTGAGGGAGCATATTATTCCAAAACAGATACAGGCCAGCTGAGACCCAAGTCCTTAACATAAGGCAAATAAAATAAATTAAATTTATATAAAAATTAAATATTAATCTAAACAGAATATTAATTTACTTGGTTTACCTTATGTTAAAGACTAATTATTTTACTAATGAAACTATTTTATTAATTTATTCAATCTCTTAGATAAATATTACCTCACAAGGGGCTTAAATATAGACAAAATATGGGCTGAATAGACCTCACAATGAATTATTTCAACATAACAGTTTTGAAAATAATTTTATTTTCTTTGAAAGTGAAATACACAAAATGGCATGAGTTTTGGAATCTGTAGACAGTTAGACAAATAAAATCAGGAGCTGTAGCTTAAGTAATCACATTTAAAATGCTGAGTCGAGTGTTCCCTAGACTACTCAAGTAATATACTTTGGATTAGATACTTGTTGGGTGTCATTATTCTGGGAAATCAAAGGATTTATGGGAATTTGGAGCTTCAGAGAATAATCATTCAGCATCTTATGCAAAATCAGACTGAGGGTCTACTCCTAGGCTTCTAACTTCTGTATGCTTTGGAGAAAGCTTGGTGTTACCTTATCTTTCAGATTCCTACTGTAAGGTACGTGGGAAAACATTTTTTCTAAAAGCACCAAGTGAGTTGAAAATTTAGGCTGAGAGACTGAAATACTGCTTCAATTAAAGTCACTGGCAAAAAGCTCAACTTCAGTGGAGCCAGGACTTCAAACCCTATACCCATTTCAGCAAAATATTTCCAGGGCAAAGAAGGTAGATATATAAACATGCAGGTACTAAATACGATTCAGATAAATTGAATGCCTTAGTCAATATTTCAAAACTCTTACCTTGAGTTTGGACATATATTTTCTTCCTAGCATCTGGCTTTAAAGAGAAGGAGAAGAAAAGTAACTTTCATAGCTCACCACAAAAGATCTGTTCAATCTTCAAAAAAACCCAACTAGTATAACAAAATGCACATCAGCGTGATTTTCTTTTGACTATTAAAAATCAAAACAGACTATTAGAAAGATACATTTAAGTAACATCAAAAGCCAACAGTCAGCAATCTAAATTACATTTACTATGAACATTTACAGTATCAATGAATCCATTTTGCAATTAATACAATTACCAAGTTAGTACAAAGGCATCTTTTAGTTTCTCTCTGTATCCTCTCTCGTAATCATTAACCTGCTTATTGTATAGAAAATTAAGATATTTCCCTAGAATAAAAAATTTTCAACTACAGAACAGCACTGGTTCCCAAAAAATACTAATCTTGAAAGAAAAATTATAGCTGGCTTTGAAACCACAGTCTACATTTATCCATAATAGGATTTTTAAACACATCAGACATGAAACAAATCCCATTTACCTCTAACCTTTTCAAAAAATGCTGTCAAATATATATAGACTTGTCTATACAGGAAAACTGGCCAGTAGTAGTTATTGCAGAATATTATCAAATAAAAATTGCATAAGAAATTATTTTAAAATAGCTATAGTAAAAGAGGTAATTACTACATTTCCAAAGTTACTCCTGAAGTGCTACTATGCTAGTTATATAAGGTAGGTGATTAAATAAGCAAGTTCTTATTTCAATGTCCTTCTATAACTCCAACCATGAATGTGGAATACACTTTTTTCACTAAAACATTGAAATATTCTTAGGATCTTTCCACATTGAAAAAAAAAAACAAAACCAAAAAACCAACACCACCACTCCCCCGCAAACAAGCAGAGTTTTTTGAGCTCGAAGTGTTTGTGCAAAGCTTTCTGTTCAGACAATTCCTAGTTGTTTTAAAAGCACCAGTTGCAATGCCTGTAAAGGAGTAAGCTAAGGAAGGTATTACTCAACTGGTGTAGTCTCCAATAGGTTTGCTCAATGTTACCTTGAATGTTTCGGTCTGAAATTCTATTCTTCCAAGCAGTTCCACTAATGCTGTTGCTTAATTTAGCATCATAGCGTCCAGAAACAACCAACCTTCTTTAGAGCACCAGTCCTTCCCATCACGAGACTAAATCTTGCCTCCTTCTCGGTGCCAATTTCCTTACGTAGAGAGGCACAGTCCTAGGGCACGGTCCAGTGCAGATGGAAAAAGGACTACTAGATTGCCCCTCCAACCATTCCACTTTTGAATGCTGGGATACACCACTGATACACTGCTGAGCTCTTCAAGCTAAATATTGCTATGCAGACTGGCCTCTGAATGTGGAAAGTTGTTGAAATACCATAGCCAGAGCTAACCCAGGCAGAACATCGCGTATGCCAGTGCATCATGACAAGCTGCACCTTAGTCTTCCCTTCTCCTCTCCCACCCCGCCCCATCCTTGGCAGACTGTGAACTCACACCTGCAGGATAACGACTCGAAGGCAGGAAGAGGACTTGTATTAGGAGAACAAGAATTAATGGAGGAACAAACTGTCAAGCAACCAATTCCTGAACCAGTCAGCTCAGGAAAGAAGCAGCCAAGGAAGCGTTTGGTTTTTTTTTTTTACTTGCAAACATTTTGGTTTTCTCCTATCACTCCTACGTGACCGCCCCTCCAGTCCACTGCCCAGTCAAAACAGTCTATTTTAGTTATTAAAAATGAACTGGAAAAAGAAATGGACAGAAAAGAGGTCATTAAAAAAGTTGAATAGCCATCAACAAGCAGTTCACAGATGGGAAGGAGGCGGTTTCTGAGAATCAGAGTGAATTAACCAAGCCACAAAAACTACATGAACAAGCAGAAAATCCACACATAAATGAAGTGGGGGAAAAATAACACCGTTTATGCTACAGTGGAAGAATAAGGGACTTTTATCTTTCAAAAGCTATATGAACTTTTGCGTTCAAAGCATTTAAAAACATGAAAAAAATTGTTTACTAGGTTATTTTATTACTTAGCATTTCTTGGTCCTTCTCTTACCTATGAATAAGCAGCATTTTAAATTATATCACATCTTCCAATCCTAAAAAAAGCCTTCCAAATGATGGAGATGGCATTGCAAGCTGGAGGCCAACTTCAGAATTTAAAATTGCAGAAGTGGGACAGCTGAAATTCAGCACTAGGACACAGATGCAGCAAAACAGAAGGTGGAAAAAAGCAGATGGGGCAGAGGGCAGCTTAAGCCAGCCTGGCCTCCATAGCTGACACGCTGCACGGTTCTGCCTCAAACTCTGGTGGGTGAAGATAGGCTTTTAGTTCCCTAAACCCACTCAGTTTCAAAAATAAGCTTAAGTTAAGCATCTGGTTTCATGCTCTGCTGGACCTTTAATGGCTTATGGTGAGTAAATATAATCCTGCCAGGGCTTGGATCATCAAGAAGAAAATAGCAGTAATACTGTGTAACAGGGCGTACCGATGTATTCACACTTTATAGATCAATTTTCTGTTATGTTCTTTATTTTAAATGGTCTTGAGGAGAATGGAAAAATGAAATTGAATGCTAATAAAACTGGCTTATGTAATTCTTATGCACCAGTTTTACACTACTGAAATAAAACACTGACCGTAAGCACAAGATCTTTTACAGTGTTTGAAAGTCACTTGGAATATAGATTATTACAAATGCTGTATTGTGTACTTCATAAAGATAATTTATCTAATGTAATGGCAAAGAAGTTGTTGGAAGACACAATGCAATTGCTTACATGTTCGTAATTTAATTTCTTAATTGACTGTCTAACTGTTAAAGCACACATTAGAGGAATAATGCAGTTCACATTAGTGTGAGTTAATATGTACAAAGTGTTAATATTCTGTGACCTAGGTATGGAAAGATGTATTCATAGCCTTCACTGTTTGAAAGTAAATGTGTGGCATTTGCTCTCACCCTTTATGTGAAGATACAGCTAGAAAAAGAACTCAAAACCCCAGCATTTAAGAGACAGGTCAGCAGGTGGTATTTCAGTTTAGGACTTGACAGACTTGCCTCCAATTCCCTGTCTGCCACAGACCTTCTCCAGAACACTGAGTGAGTCTCACAGCCCCGGAGCACAAAGGTGTTTAGGTAAAATCAATCAAAGTTAAGTACTTAAAAACATTTGAAGTGCTGATTTCAAAAGGATTTCAAAGTTCAAGTTTGTTTCTCCTCCTTATACTCTGTTACTTTTGTCTTCTTCTTGCACAAGATCTATGACAGAAGCTGTGCCCTTTCATGTTTACCCATCATGAAGTTCACTGTAGTAACTATTAAAACCAAGTTATATTTGTAATGTAAATACCAGATCCTATGTCTGCTCATGTATCCTTTTAAAGCAAATAGATAAAAAAATCAATTTGTGCTGAAACAAAGTATTGAATATTAAATTGTTCTGTTGTGCAAGCTCCAATCTAAGTCATTTTTTCTAGGCAAGGGTGTATTAATGATTATATTATGATGCAAATCAGAACTGAAGAGATACCAAACAGTTAGCTTCTACTTCTTTCATTTATTGTTCAGCTTCTGCTGATGTTTCCCAAGATGAGGTGAGTGGAGCTAACAGCTCGCTGCAGCTGGAAGAGGGTGGTCCTGCCTTGCTCATTTTATCCCAGTGTGTTGCCCCTAACTGTTAGCCAAATAGTTACTGCTTACCCTTCACTGGATCTGGTGCTCATTGCAGTTCTCCGTGATGCCGTACAAGTCTAGCCAACAAGTTAGTTGGAAAGCTAACCTTGCACAGAAAATCAGCTGGGCTAACAAGCTAGATCAGCAAGCCCTGCTGCCTGGTGTGGAGTTTTTCACAGGTCACCAGTGCAGCCTGACACTATCCAAAAGCACTCCGTGGACTCAAATGACTGGCAGCTCTTTATGGTCTTCCTCCGCTCTTCAGAAACCAGGATTGAGCACTGTCTGCTTCAAGGATTTGTCTCAATTTTCTCCACTGGCAGTCTGCCATCAACTCAACCATGTAAGGGTGAAAATGTTGACCCAGTCTATTTTCAAACAGGAGCATCAGATACTAAAAATAATTGCACTGAATGGCTGAAGTAGACCTGCAATACAGCAGATGCAATGGTACCTACTAAATGAAGAGAAAGAGAATGAACCATTATTGCTCCCAGTTCTTTGCTGGCTAAATGACCTCCTTCAAATACACTGCCAAATGGATTTAACCGCTACACTGCTGCATGAAAATAATTTTATTCAGTATTTTTCCATATATCATTCAGCACAGTGTGTTTCACTTTGTTTTCAGAAGGACAGACGAGTTTTAAGAAAGTTAAGTGCTATTTATGTGCTATGTGTCCCTCAAGACCTGGTCAACAGGGCTATACATGTCACATATTGCTGGGCTTAGCGTAACTTCCATTTTACCTCTGCAGTTCACCTTAAGAAGTTCATTCTATTTCCAGTGTTGACAAAACAAGTATTTTCAAATTATTCTTCCAAATTCTTTATTGTAAGTAAAGCTGTTTAGTTGAATTTTGGCAACATATAGAAGTTTATTAAATGATGCAAAAAGAAACAAAATATGCATATGGCATCAGGAGAGATGGGATAACAACAGCAATGATTAGTTTTAAATGTTACAGAGAAGCACTTCCTAAACTGCTGTATACTCTTTTCAAATACGAAACAGCTTTTAAATGCCAGATCTATTTGACCTGTTGAAGTACATAAATATGAAACGCTTTCTCTGAAAGGAAAAACAGGAATAGAGAATATGAAGATTATTGCAATTCTCTAGCATTATTTAGAAAACATTTTAGGAGAATGCACAGTTGCTAATACTATAAGCATTACCATCATCATGTAAACATACCCACTCTGCTGCTGCCAGTTCCTTCATTTTCACCGTGAAAGCCACTGCAAACCTAGTTAAATGGACAAAAATAGTTGGGATCATCTGCTTAAAGTGTAACATAAAAACAGAAAAGTACTTCAGAAAACATCTTTATAAGAACAAAGAGCAGAGGCTTATAAAAATGATTATAGATGGAAAGACAGAAAGCAGGCTTTCTATTTGTTTTACCAGAAAATACTGGTTAAACAAATGTTATCTCTTCAGGCTTTACAACTTAGAGCTCTTGGGGAGTTAAAGTGAGGATTTCTTAAAGTAAAGTTTGTACATCATTGCAAGGTGCAATAGCCCTCTCACAACCAGAAAGCGAGGTAAGAAGGAATCTGAAGTCCGGTTAGTGTCATACTATTGTTGTTTGATGAGACCCAGTCCCACTATTTGCCACTCATTGCAACTGAGTTTAATTCAAATGAGCAGACGGAATTTTTAAACCTTTCCCCAATGTTCTCTCCTTATTTCTAAGTAGTCAAAGCTCTCAACGAGTAACTAACATCTGAGAAACCAAAATGTTGTTCTTCAGGAAAAATATCAGAATTAAATAAACTAAAAAAAGAAAAAAGATGATCCAGTGACTGAGCTTCAACTCTGGAATCTCACAGCCTTGGGACGCTCAGCTCTGTAGCCCTGATGTTAGGCATCTGCAGCGGAGATGAAATTTGCAGTGCTGAGTTAGACACCTGATAGTCCTTTACAATAAATAGGGAAGAATTGGGTGCCCAGAAATGAGATCTACCACAGTCATCGTTTCAGGCAAAGAGATCATTACGCTAGCCAGACACAATACTGACAGAAGGGCATTTTGACTGTTCTCTGGTTAAGACTCTTCTTTGTTATGAGAAGGGTGCTTAAATGAATGAACTGTAGAATAGTATATGAATACCATCCGCTCCTCCTCTGTAATGTATATAAATCGTAACGTCAAAGTAAGAACAAGCAAACAAAAGTGTACTTGAATAACTTAATGGCTAGGGTTTTCATCTGGGAGGGAGAAGAGAATTCTGTTCCCAAGCTTGCTTCCACTTTATCCCTTATGGCTCTTTATAATGGCTCATCTGGACTTCTGCTTATGTGCCTTTGAGAAACGTATGTAGTCGTCGTGGTTTAACCCCAATCGGCAACTAAGCACCACACAGCCGCTCGCTCACCCTCCCCCCCGATGGGATGGGGGAGAGAATAGGAAAAAAAAAAAAGAAAATCCCATGGGTTGAGATAAAGACAGCTTAATAGGACAGCAGATGAAGAGAAAATAATAATATTAATAATAATGATAATGATAAAAGAATATACAAAACAAGTGATGCACAATGAAACTGCTCACCACCTGCTGACCAATGCCCTGCCCGTCCCTGAGCACTGATCACTGCCCCCCGGCCAACTCCCCCCAGTTTCTATACTGGGCATGGCGCCATATAGTATGGAACAGCCCTGGGGCCAGTCTGGGCCAGCTGTCCTGGCTGTGCCCCCTCCCAGCTTCTTGTGCACCGGGCAGGGCAGGGGAAGCTGAAAAGACCTTGACTGGTGTAAGCACTGCTTAGCAACAACTCAAACATCAGTGCGTTAACAACATTATTCTCATCCTAAATCCAAAACACAGCACTGTACCAGCTACTAGGAAGAAAATTAACCCTGTCCCAGCTGAAACCAGGCCAGTAGTACACTATCATTCCACGTAACAGAAGAGTTATGTCAGAGACCATTTAAAAGCAGCACTGATATGAACAGTTTTCATTTTTGGGTGTCTCATTACAGAGAGACTTCAGCCACAGAAGTCTGATTTCTAAACATACGAGATAAACAAGTTATTTTTACGGGGAGCTCGGTGTAATACCAAGAAGTCATATGAGATATTTTTATGGAGTCCAAGTTAATAAAGAATCCCTGTTCAGAAGAGATCTTAAGAACATGCTGGGCTTTAATGTAGCGTTTAAGTTGTGATGAAACACATGCTTTGACTGTTCTTAAATGGAACTTTAGTGTTAACTGGAACCACAAATGGGACCATTTCTGAAGACTACCAGATCTGTGCAACAGAAATGTTTGAACGCCTCCTTCATGTGAGACATAATGTGTCTGCTCAGCAAAACTCCTTTTTTTTAATTGCTTTTATAGATACTGAATATAAAACAGAGGTTATCACATATTACACTTATGATTCAGTGTTTCTTTTTCATAGAATTAATGTAATGTTTCTGACCTGAGCCAACCCTATGACATCTCAATGGTTAGAGATGGAGCACATTGCTAAGTCACAACCAGAACACTGGAGATGTTATGTTTCAATTTGAGGACATGAAATCACAATCATTCATTAGAGGTCACATAAATGCCGAATTATAAATCCTACTTTTGTTTGTTGAAACAAACCTTATTCCCATACATTTGTTTGGTAGTATCTGCTTTATGGTACTACAATGAATTTCACATATACAACTTGACAGCTTTAAGGTTATTAAAGCCTTTGCAAATGCTTGTTTTGTCAAGTTGCACATGCTCCCTTCCCAGTTTTTGCAATTATACTTTCAATATATCACATTAACAAGCAGAAAAAACTGTTGTTCCTAAGTCTACAAAATACTGTTCAATAGAAAAAAATACCCTAGAGGAGTACAACCACCATTTAGAGGAATTTGATTAAAAATGAAACACTCATTATAAACCTAGACAGTGTTCAATACTTTGTTTTATGGAATGTGGTGGTATATGGCATTGGAGAAGTAATCTACAATTCCTGATACTTTCTGCTTAGAACCCTGCAATCAATAAAGAAAAAAAAAAAATCAATATTTCTTTTAATAACTATGCAATGAATAATACTAGTGATAATACTGGAGAAGAGATCCATTCAGAATAACTTCTAGAAAACTGAATTACTTTTCCTGTAGCAGAGAAAATATTATGAACTGCATAAGGATGCAGTAATATATTTTGAAACATCATAGGAAATTCAAGCTACTAAACTATACTTCAAGTTCCTAACTTAATTATCATTAAAAAAACATTCAGTAAAGTGCAATTTTTGCATAAGCTATATTAGCCATATTTGTGACAGATCATATTTTAAACACAGAACTGGATCAAACGGACACACTCAAGAGATTCTGTTCTTATATACTTTTCATTTTGCGCAGTATTTAAATTTAACTGACGTGTTAGATATCTTTTTTCTCTTCCTTCAGACCTGTTTAAAGAATAACTTCTGATTATTTGGTAACAAAACTAAACAAGTATATAATTTTTGTCTCGAATGGGGCCTTAAGTTGCTTTCCAACTACAAGTCACACTAAGACGTAAGAACATGCCCTAATGATTTTTCAATGAGCGTGATTAAATGCTGTCTTTAAAATCTGTTTACCTACCACATTTTATAGGGCACTTTAGACAGAACAGCATATCTATGCCAGCGTTGTTAGTTAATAATAGCTAGAACATATAGTGGCATTAGCAAGGCTAAAACTACGAGATATAATCCTGCTACAGGTTCTGTATGCATTTCGTCATTGCTAACATGAACCAAAATCCATACTGCCGTATCTGAACCACTGTAGTTATCTTTCTTAGCTAGAACGCTGTGATGAATGAACAGAGATAGTATCCTGAGCAAGCTCTGTTCAGCAAGGCATTTAAGGTCTCCAACAGTAAGTATGCAAGCAGTACCACTGGATTTGATAAGATGCTCCAAATGCTTAAATTTTATTTCACCTTGTAAACTTGGGGACCCCTTCACTTATGCAGAACTCAATTCTGGAGTGATGACCCTTCGGAGTACTCAGGCAGCTCAGGCACAGTATAGTTCCATGAGGCTGAGTAACTTGCTGTAGCAACTTACTGCCACCAAAAAGACATCCTTCTCTTATCATTCCACAAGCGGATTCTTATTAAAGGGGTAGAAAACTAACCCGGGGGGAAAAAAAAGCCAATTTTCACCATTTAGTGAGTTAAACCTGCTCAGAAAGCAGTCCAATCCTGGCACAAGGAAGGGTGGATCACACAGCCACAAGAAAGAGAAAGGAGAAGGAGAGGAAGAGAGGTAGCAGTAGAGCCATCCCAGCCATCAGTGAGCTATTGAGCTATTACGCATGAAGTGATGACCTTAGCCTCTATCTCAATAAGACTTAAGCTGCCTATTAAATTAATTTCATCCATTGGAAGCTTTACATACATAAAACGCTTCAGTTTCCAATAAGAAAAGGGCTTATTGGCCCATCATGGACATGATCAAACACTGTTGAAGTCAACAGACCTTTGGATCAAGCAGAAGGAAATTTCTTTTCTGGGGATGCTGAAACAAGGAGAAATGCTGCAAAAATCTTTTTGGTTTTTAGTCATTCTTTCTGATTTCTGATCAGTTCTTGAACTACATTTGATAACTACACTGACATGTGACCAGAACTTTTCTGGACTTTAAAACACCCTGAAAATACTCCCTTGTCAATTCACCTAAAAAAACTGAGAGAACTTGAGACTTTTTTCAGTCTCTGCCTCTTTGTTCGTGTATCTAGAGAAAGGGTCACATTAGCGGGAAAAAAAGAACAAAAGCTCTTTATACTTGAGTCACCTGCTTTTCAATCAAGCACTCTGTCAACAAGTGAAATGTAAGGCCTTCGAGAACAGGTTTGTTTCTGTGATGCAACAGGACACATGCCAGTTATTTTTAGTTGCTGTCTCACTTAAGTCAAACTGCTGGGCACCCTGGTCTGTATGTGCAGATAGCACTTAATGCATAAAATATGTTAGTTCCAAGAGAGAATATTTTATATATTTGAATATATGTAACATAAACCAGAATTTACTACGAAACAGAGGTTTTAAAAAGAACAGCTTGGAGCAACATTTAGCACTTCTGGCACAGGGCCTTGGCAAATGGGGTCAAACCTTGTTTAGGCTAATAATATTACTACAATAAATTTTAATGAGAATATTCATACCTCCACTGCTAACAAAGATTTGTTATTTAAATAATCATATCTCCACCACTAACTCACCATTAACCACCTCCACTACTAAAGATTCACTATTTAAATACCAAATATCAGTCATTTCATGGCCAGGATAGCTCTGTACAAATGAGAACTGTATAAATATTGTCGGAGATACTTAGATGTGCATTTCTTTACCTAAGTCTCTGCAAATATAAGCAGTCTAAAATAATTTGGTAAGAAATTAAAACTTGATTGCACAATATTGTACCCATCACAAACACGTCAAATAAATCACAGTCAAGTTGCTACAGTCCACAGTTATACTAACCGTCAAAAGCTGTCTTTATAATGTCTACCCATAAAGCAGATTATTCTACAGAGCAATCTACTGCCAAATCCCAGGTTAAGTATTCTTGCTATTATTCTTCTCATTTCTTTTACCTGCCTTAGAATTTTATATCCTCATCACATGCATAGTTCTATCATTCAACAAAACAGTTATGATTCACTAGACAAAGCACAGCATTAGTTAGCAAGAGCACAGATTTCATTAGCTTTTAATGGGATTTGAGTGGTTCTGAAAATTCACAGCCCAAGAGACCAACTTTCAGCACTACCTCTGCCAATTCTTACATGGACAAATACGATGAAACGATTGTAACAGAGGAAATATAAAATGAAAAAACTGCATACAGACTATATTTTATGAAGACACTGTTCTACTTCCACCACTGAATCATAAAATAATATGTAGAGATCATAGGGATTTCAAGTGGTCCATCTTTTGTCCACTGGCCTACACATCTCCCAGTGATTCCAAGCATTTATGGAACAGTTCCTAAAAGATCTGCCATTACAAAAATACCATTTCCTGTCATAAACCTTCCACAGATGCTTTTACCTGGCTTCTCCTAGGACTGCTCCCATTACCCGATGTTTCTCTTTGCATTTGATATCTTCATTTACATCTGTCCCACCAAAGATGATTCCAAAAGGAATTCTGCTACCTGCAAAGCAATGACTACGATGAGCAGTTGACCAACATGTCAAGGTAATGACCAGAAGGGGACATTAAGAGTGAAAAAGTATATTGATAATACTGTATCACATACGTAAGCAAAAGCCTTTGAAAAAGAAACCTGGAGAAACTTGAATTTGTATGGTTTTGGCACTGAAAAAAAAGGTACAATAACTATGCACTTTCACAGCACGTCAGTCTGTTGTGCAGCTATGAGATTTTCTTTGCCTTTTCCATGCTTAGTAAAAACAGTCAGTTAGTGTTTACACTTGGTAGCCCACCAAACAGGGTATATATTTTAAATGTTATTCATATTTTAATAAGATGCAGTATTGCAAAGTTTGGTCCCAGATATCTAGCCTCAGCCACTCATTCACTGCCCCCTCAAGCATGCCAATACAGTGGCTTGGGTGACCACGCAGCAAAGTTGGTTACTGAATTTTTTTTTTTAAATATTCACTTCTGAAGCTGATTTTACTGCTACAAAAGATATAGATGGAGCCACACCATTGGAAAAGGTCACTGAATCAAATAAGGCAGTATATATGAACCTGCAGCAAAAACATTGTTTTGCCTAATTCCAACCCAAAAGATGGATCTGTGTTTATAATTGGTTGTTCCAAGACCTTCTGTGATCACCCAAGTTATGAAAGTTGGTTTAGGATGCCTTACAGTGCTCAGAACAGTAAAAGCAGAGGAAGGCATGTTAGCTGTGGGACAGTCTGTGCACGAGACCTTATCGACATTCAAATTTTATAGAGTATCAACAAAATTGTATATACCCTAGTGGTGTCTGCACTCTGGTAAAAGCCTAGTTTTGATACACGGCATCAGAATAAATTCATATTTGTGTAAGGATAAAGCCATCAAAACAAGGTAGTGTAGCACTTCTATGCTAACAGCAGCTAGACATAGATGGACAAGGCCAAAGACTACTTAGATGAAGTAGTAGTGCAAGATTCCTTCCTAATAGTATTTCTTTTCTGGGAGTCAGGTTATTTTTAGTAACTGACAAGTTACCAGTAATGTTCTCCCCTTAAACTAATCAAGATAGCAGACAATAATGTTTACTGTTGATTGTTTCAGCACTGAAATCGATTAAGTGGTCAGTTTTACACCACATTAAGCTAACAAATAACAGCCTCGTGCTAGCTAATTACTACATGCAGAACATAGTTTTAAATTCCAAAGGGGACTGCAGTTTTGCAAAAGAAACAGTTTCCAGTAAGACAGTCTACAAAACCTCTCATTAAGGTGACCAGTTTTGTGGATTTTGCAGATTTCTGTCAGCTGTAACAGATGAAGCCAAGGTTTCCTTCTGACTGTGAACAAGAATAAGCAGTCAGGCTGTATTGCCACTACACACTGTGGATCAAGAAAGGCAGAAAATATGCTTTGTCTTTTCCCTTTTGCTATCGGATGGAAAGGGAGAGAGATCAAGGACTCAGTAGACATCACTGTCCTCAGCACTGGACCAACAAGCAGGGCACTAGAGGTTACTGTGTTGATGGAGGTTCTTCCTTTTGAGGGATAATATAACCGACCTTGAATGTCCATGGCTGTGAAAACTACTGGTGACACTTCCTATAGCTACCCACAGTGTCTTAGTGGGTGGGGGGGAAATGGCAGGTTAAATTCAGTGAATTCTCATAATTAAAATTCATGGTTAAAAACAAGCGAATAAGGACATCTTAAAGCAAATGGTGAACAAAATAAATATGTTGATAAAGATAGAAAACATACTGTATGTTTCAAATTTATATTTGAAAATTAAGTGAGCTGTAAGATGAGGATTTATTAGCGTTGCTAATTTCCTCATTACTAAATGAAAGAACAAACAAAAAGAATGAAAGACTAATTGCCATTCTGGCTACTTAAAGACTTCCCTTCACATTTTCAGATATTATACTCTGAGGTTTGTAGATGAAGAAAATTAATGTGCACTATTAAAGGACCACAGCACTAATCTTCAAGACACCTACTTTCTGTAATACAATATAAAATATATGTTGGCATTCTAATAAATAAAAAAGTAAATAATTATTATGTCATCTATTATATGTGTTGATCATACATCTCCAACCATGCAAACAAAGTTTCCAGGATGAGGCCCAAAAGATTGGTAGTATGGTAGTAATGGTAGTATGACTGTAATCACTAAATTTCTTTAAGGCATTTCTTAATATAGGCTATGGAAAGACTAAATGTTACAAGAACCAGGAATACCCCCTGAATCACTTTTTTCCTTCAAGAAGTCTACAATAACTTTTACACTTTGACTAGGATCATCCCAGCAATTATACTAGTTACTGTCTCGCTTTTCACAGATTTCCGTTTTATTTTTCTTTCAGGTATTGCAGATGCTTTTTGGAACAGTGTGACTGACTTATTTAAATTACTGAGCTTTTGTAAATCATTCAAATATCAGGCTTTGTAGGTCACTTGCAATTTTGAAAAGCTAATAGCAACAGAATTCGGGCAATGCTACGCAACAAAACTGCAATAAAGTTTTACAGCAAACATTTAAAATCCAACCTTATTTTTTGCTCCTTAGCGAAAAAAAGAGATCGTTCTAAGACCTGCCATAAGCCTCCTCCAAAACAATTCTAGGTCTTGTCACAAAAACAATCAATCATCTCTACATTCCAACAAGAGAAGTCTTAATACATACGTTAGCAGAGATCATCTTACAGAATTACTTTTTTATTTGGATTCTAGGATCCCTACTGAAATCAGAGCTCCACTGTAACAAAAGATACACAAGCATGCCAGACATCAGAATTCATGCTTTCTGAAAGCCCACCAGCACAAATGGCAGGGGGACTTCTGAAGTCTGAAAACTAGCACAACACAACTTATACTGACATCTGATGAAAGTACCAAATTATATACCTTTCTCCAAGTGAATAGATTTGTACAGTACGAATGTGATCTCAAAAATGGATACACACTTGCAATTTCAGTAGGTGACAGTGTCTGTAATTTTGAAAGCCAGTGCTTCCAGTGTATCATTAATGGCAGGCTAAATTTTGTTCTACATGGCTAGATACAATAGAAAATGTTATTATTTGTCTGATAACACCCTGTCTCCTACAGTTTAGCTGGCATGAACAACATCTCAAAGTTATTTCATGTCCAAAAAACCCCGACTCATTTTTGAGCAGAAATATCAAATTAGCCTCTCTGCTTTCTTCTATCTGACCTCAGCTATATTTAGCCAAGCCATTGTCCTCTGAAAGAACACATTTGCTGAAAGTATCTTATTGTTAATATAATGCTCTTATCTTAATGTAGTTAAAGTACTTAATTATGAAATGCACTGTGTGCTTTAAAAGTACATTTATTTAGCTCTCTCCTCTCTGGATCCAGTCTCCCACAGAGAAAGATTTTCAGCATTTCTGAACATTTGTTGAAGTGGATAAACAGAATAACTACATTACGTATGGGTTTATACATTTACAGCCGTTTATAACTGTATTCATTCTCTTCTCTTTCAGTACCTTTTTAAGAGGTATTTTTATTGCAAAATAGAAAGAGGATTACCTTGCAGAAGTCTGCCTCCTTTATAAAGATGAATGGCCAGGGCTGCATCAAACTTCTCTGTTGAGGTTAGATTTGCTATTTCAGTTGGACTTTCATACATGAAAGCATCTTTAAGAACACAGATATGACCTGCAGCATGTAGATGATTCCTTTATTATCAGAACAAATAGAAAAAGAATAGAAAAAAGATACTATTAATGTTGTAGGCATGCCAGTATATTAAATAAGCTTAATCAAAATGTTTTTCCTTAATAATTTTTGCTCCAACATTCACCTTTATGCTAATTTTGTTCAAGCAACCATGGAGCTATTCACAAGGGTTTTTTTTTTTTCCTGGAAAACATTTGTTACCTTCACCACTGTGAAGCCACAGTCACACTGCCAAGCAACATAATCCACATCCATTTTAAGGCCCAAGCCTACAAAGTATCAATAGCACCTTTGGAAATCAGCAGAAGTGAAGTATGATCAGGATCTTTCCTGACAGAGCTTCAGCTTAATATGCTGAAAAGACTCCTTTTGAATTAAGCGTGTTAGACCTTGGTCTTAAAGATTCCCAGATCCTTGTTCTGGAGAAAGGCCACCGAGTGAAGAAAACACAAGTATGTCCAGCTAACTAATGCTATTAAAAATATAGACATGGGAAAAAAAAAAAAGAATACATAAATAAAACTGGAGAGTTGAAATTGTATTCCCTTTCTGTTTGATTGTGGGTTTAATTGCTTCTTGTCTTAGTTACCCATTTGTAAAACAGGCACAGGATAATTAAAGTGTAAGAAAAAAACTACACAAAAGTAATTACACAAACACTTTCACAGTCTTTTTTTAAAATCTCAATTGCTAAAAAGAAAAAAACAACAACAACAACAACAAAACCCACCTATTCTAATGTCAGCTTACCCATTCATCTTTATACACAGTGGTTCCTCATATTAAAACATTGAATAAAAGACTGCCAAAGTCAAGAAACTGATTGATTACAGAAAGCTCTACTTTAGGCATTTCACTGAGCTTTGTTTTAGTCTTTTCTTTTATACACTAGGCTCATAACTGCCCACCAAAACCAGAATCAGTTATCAATGTTTCAATGACATCAGCCAAAAAGCATGCAGGAGAAAATCTATGTTTTGATAGAAACTAGCACATTGCATGTGCTGACACATCATGTTTACGTCTTCAATATTACAAAGAGACCACAAGAATGTTTTCTGCTTATTACATATTGTTCCAGTTGATTTCTTTCTCCTAGCATATTAATTGTTCTGGCAGTAAAAACCTGCTAACTCAATAGCTTCTTGGATAATGTCAGCTCTTTCCTTTCCTGATCATTTCCTATCCTCCCAAGGAATGTAATTTTCTGTCCTGCAGAAGTTAGTCATTACTGCAGAAATTGGTGCTAAAAATGTTGTAAAATGTCTTGAGGCCTTGGAAGGAATGTATTAGCACTAGATCAGACAGAGCTCCACTGGCACAACATATGGTGCTATATTTCTTCCTTATTCTAAAAAGAAACTCATTTTACTTTTAACTTCACCGTTTGAAACAAGACCAATAAATTATAATAAGTACTAATAAATAATGAAATACAGCCAGACTGTAAGCTCCTTATTTACACTGTTGAGCAATTATTTACATCAGTTGTCCCATGAACTCGTACCACGTACCTGCTTGCCTCTTGAAAGAGGCTCTCAATTTATATCTAAATAATGATGCCCAAATCTCACAGCTGTGGAAAGAAAATCTCTCGGGCAAATACTCGGGATGCTCGTGCATGCATTCCATAATTTCACAGGTGCTCATTAAATACTCTAAAAGAATTCTGTCCCATCAGTATTCCAATTACCATAAATCACTATCATGTACAAGCAATATGTTTGCATATTACAATTAATTGGAAAATAACTCTCTCAGGACATCAGGAATCAAGAAACTCAGCTAGGAATTTCGATCTAAAGCATCTTTTTTTTTTTTTTTTAATATAATAGGAATGAATACTTTTCCTTTCCTCCACGGTTTCCACAGCTCCAAATCTCACAGCTGAATGACAGCTGTTTCTGCAGTAAATAGAGGGGGACTCCCTCAAGTGTTCCAAGGCTCAGAAATAGTGGATTACCTCTATTACTTCAATTTTTTTTCTACACATAATGACTCAGGAGCATGTAAAAAATTTGCGTACAGCTTAAGAAAGAAAAATTATCAAATTATTCCCAGAATAATTTGAATTCCCAGATGTAAAGAGGCCTTAATCCCATAAACATACTATTGAGTTCAATATGATTAGTCACAGGCTTCAGATTATGCATATATGGAAATATATGTGCATAGAAGCAGAGTTATTGGGTAGTATTTAAGTACTGAAATTTACAGTGATATTTTCATATTTTCTAAATGACTTTTCATCTTTATAACCAAAAAAAAGCAGACTATGATTTTCACACATATGCTGTTATCAAGGAACACGATAAGAGGGTGCTGCAAAGCTACTGCAGGAGATTTTTTTTGAAGGCTGATCTGTCTGTGAAGTCACAGATGTCCCCGAATCAAGCCAAGAGAGAAGAGATACATTACCCATATCTTTTCTCCTGGCAACTGTGTATTCACGTTATTTTGCCGTTTCATAAACAAATACTTTCTGAATGAAAAATAAAAATGAACATGTCTCCTGCTGTCTGTGAATCTAAGACAACACTGAAAATGCTAAATCTCAAGGCTACATTTTCTCTCTATCACAGTTTTGTATGTGGTAGATAAACTTCCAAGTAAGCGTCTCAACAACCAGTGATTATTGCTTGGATCCAGAATTTGCCTTGCTCTGCCATATCTCGCCCTTCTGCTGAAACTGCCATGGAAGCCAATGCCACTACTTGGGGAGAAAAATAAATATTTTTAAAATGGAGTTTGGCTGTCAGATTCCGGATTTCGGGTGTTTTGCTAGGAAGTAACCAAACAGGGAAAACTTCAGTCATTCAGTAAGTTTGAAACATCATTTCTCAGACTACATTATATTAGTCACTACTTATACTGTGATATTTATACACATCTGAATATTGGACAAAATATTTCCCAGCCCCACTGATCTTAGTATTCCGGGAATTCATCTTTTTTGTTGTATTTTTTACACTCTTTGGAAAGCATGAGGCTTATAAGTGAAACTTGTGTCTGCTCTGGATCTATACTGTATGCAGAGAGATACTGCTAAAAGGGACAACCCTTTTCTGACCCATTTTCACCTTATTAAAAATTTCTATAGAAAAACATTTTTCTCTAACACAACTATGAAATACCAGGTGACGTTTTATAATGTTTCATTGTTTATTTCCTACATTATTGATCACTACTGCTCACTTATCCTGGCTAGCAGCCCTCCCTCCTTCACCCTGAATCTGCAGTTCACAGCTCTTCATATACAGAAACAGTTTTATAGTTTCAAATACAGCATGAGTGAAGCTAAGACACAAGCGAGGTAAAAGTATCCTTACTTCTAAAGTATTACAGTTTTGAAACTTGCTTTATTTTCTGTGATGTCTTCATCTCAAAAACATTTATGTTCTAATTTTCAACTAATATTTCAATGGAATTACTTGCAGACAAAGAATGTTTGATTTCCAAAAAGTCCCTGGTAGGTAGATACACTGACACTTCTTGAATGGCACAAAATAGGCTTAATCCAAAAATATTA